CCCCAAAACCCCAAAACCCCAAAACCCCAAAACCCCAAAACCCCAAAACCCCATATATCGAAAAATAAATTGCAAATTATATAATTCAATTAAGTTTTCAAAGTAATGGCATACCCCAAATTTCTCTTCACTAATCCCTAAGAAACCAAGGAACTGGTCTATAAGAGTTATCAGCTTTTTGAGGTTCCCAATAGCAGTATTTCTCTAGCTGCACGGGCCTTCTTTCTCACTACGAATTTTGGTCATGAAAAATGATTCATTTCAAGCCGAGCTCACAACATCTAAACTAATCTGTATAGAGTCACAAGAATGATGATGACCCCTCAGCAACAGAAAGAGATCCTTGAAAAGGTAGCAAGGCTCTCAGAGCAAGAGAAGAAGAAGTTACAGGAGACTTGTCTCCCGAATTGGGGCGACGGCGGCCCAAATGATGAAGCCTTCAGCAGTATAGTCAGCCTCCTCAAGCAAGGCCACGAGAGCCTTGTCAGTGACATGAAAGATAGTATTGGCGCCAACCCTAATTCCTCTGGTCATCACCATGTCAAGCATGAGATATATGGGGAAATATGCAGGAATTGTGAAAAGCGTATGTGTTCCAAACTTCTATTTTCGCTTAACAACACTTTGTAAATTCTTCCATTTTCGTGTAAGCTCTAATCGATAATAGCATATTTGAAATTGTATAACAAAAACAACGAAATTTTGGAACAAAAGTTGGCTAAGTTATTCAACGCAGTTTATGACAAAGATCCCCTAGTGAAGGAAACCACCAAGGAGGTATTCGAGTGTATCAAGACACAAAAGATCAAAGAAAGCATCAACCCTCATCTTAGTAAGGCTGTTGAGGAATGAATGAAGGAGAAGAAGAATGCTCTCAATGAGCTATGGATCAATGAGCTTACATATTGAGAAGACAAAAATACTAATGAATGGTATCTTGGCTTTTATTAACTTGTACAGCCGATTAAAATAACATCTCTGAAAATGCAGATTCCTATGGAAAGATCACAAAGGAATTAGTGAACTCCTTCTACCTCTACGAAGCCGCAATTGAAACCGTAGTTGATTTACTAAAGGAGGTCCTAAGAGACACTGAGAATCTGACCAAGATTTTCGTTGAAACCATCTGGTCAGACCCCAACATCAACATAATAATAGAAGAGATTCTCTCCAATACTCAGGATTTGGCCAATTACACAGACATATTGGAGGAGCTGGCAGACATCAATGACAGGCTTTATGTACTGACTCAGAATGCTCATCCGAGCTTGCCTTCTAGAGAGGCCAATAATCGTACCATGTACGACAACAGACGATATTCCGAAGGCTCATACTCCACAGATGATAATCCTAGTGAAGAAGACTACAGAATTAAGGACAAGAAAAAGCAAGGTAAGGGAAAAGGAAAGAATAAGAACAAAAATAAGAAAAATAAGAACAAGAGTCAACATAAAGGCCATGGGTCTAGCGGCCACCAAACCCTTGTAAATAACCAAAACTAACGGGTTTAGGCTGAAATGGAAATTGATGACCTAGTCAATTACATTAATGGAGGTAACTCCCAAGCCAGTAAGGAAAAATCCCACAAAAAGGAAGCAGGTGTCAGCAGCAGAGTACAGCCAGTAGACCCTACTAAGGATGATCCCCATGATGTCACTGATAAGGAACTCAATGAGACTGATGTTGATGAGTTCAAGAAGAGAATCCAGACTTCAGAGTAAGTCAGTCGCTAATTTCACCCATACAAATCAAAATTATAAGATCTCATATCCTAATTTGATACATTTCATGAATTTTTAGAGGGATTTCAAAAACTGATTACTTATAGGCCACCGAAAAGTAAGAAGAGCCAGAGTCATAAGCAGAAGATAAAGCCAAATATTTCCAAGGAGTGGGTCCACTACCTTAGAAATAAGCTTCATGACCTCTAGAATCAACCACCTTTTACTCATAAATAGAGGGGTTGATGGTGCCTGTTTTGATTAGGACAAATCCTCGTAAAAGTTGAGAGATCCTATACGTTGACAAGCATTCAATAATTCTATGAAATTAAGGGGTTTTGGGGTTTTGGGGTTTTGGGGTTTTGGGG